AAACTGCCATTAAGATTCCAATTCAGTACGATGGCTGCTGAGCACATAGACAATTGATCTTGTTTGAGGTTAAACCATAAGGGAGCCAGGTGGTCTGCTCTGTCAGCCCATGTCCCTAAACCAGAACAAGTGATTATAATGTTAGCGAGGAGAGAGGAGCAGAGCACAATAGCCCAATGCCTCGACAGGTGTTCCAGCTTCCAGCTGTGACCCAGGCCTGGCTCTCCAGTTTATTCTTTTATGAGAACGTTTCTGCATTTCTGCAGGCCCAGGCAAGTCCTCAAAGAAAAGAACTCCATCTCAGAGCCATATTCTCTAGGGAGCCTATGAAGCCAAACTGCCATGTCTGAGCGTGGGGTACTGTACCCCTACAGTTTGCAGTGCCCTATCCTAAGGAATGTCAAAGACATAGCAAAGGTGAGAAGAGCTCTTGGCCATAAAGAAGAAAATGTATTTGGACATGCCTGTAATACATCTGTATGTATATGTATACTTAATTCTGAGCTTCTTATAACTCCATGGGCTAGCAAAGAGCTGGGCACAAAAACAAATACATGACACTAAAAGAATCATTGACAGATTTCTGCTGCAAAAGTCATCCTGTAGAGGTATATGAGTGAGTGAACTTTGACACACTTTCTTCTTTTCCTTTTTTCATCCCTAGGAGACCCTCAGTTATTTTTTGTTTATTTCTCACAAGCCAAAGCAAAAATATGAATCAGAAAAAGTTGGTATTTAGCACTCTGGAGCGTCCCTTACTATAGTCCATTTCTAATTTTGATACCATTAGGAGTATCTTCCAAGAAACATCCAGTTCTGTATTTCATCCTCTCAGAATCTCTCACTGAATAGATTTGGGCAATTGATGGAGAACCTGGGATTAAATTACCGAGACATACATAGAAATCCAAGCAAATAGCAGAAAGACAATTATTAGCTCCAGGGGGTCAAAAATACAGGAAAGGAAAATTAGTCATAGTTTTCCTATTACATGTTTCACCTTTGGATAGCATAGTTATAACAATGTAAAAACTTACTGATCTAACTACCCATTGATATTGGGAGGGTCAGATGCGTGTCTGTGTACAGTGAGAGGCCAATAAAGTGTGACAAAAGAAAACAGTAAACACCAAAACCAAGTTCAAAGTGGTGGCCTCTGAGACAGAAGAAACCGGGAGAATGAGGGCAAGGAACAGCAGTCTGTCATCAACTTTGTAGAATAGCTGAGTTTGATCCCAAGCTTTTCAAACTGTGGCTTACAATCTCTCTAGAGCGGTGCTGTCCAATATGGAAATAAGATAAACAAATTCAGTTCCTCAGTCACACTAACCATGTTCCAAATGCTTCATAGCCACATATGGCTGGCAGCTACTGAAGTGGATACCACAGATATAGAACATTTTCAGCTTCACAGAAATCTATTGGATGGCACTGTTGCACAGGGTCATTGAATCAATTTAGCTGGTCACCACCAGCATTTTTAAAAAATGGAATAGAAGGCTCAGCGCCTGTGGCTCAAGTGGCTAAGGCGCCAACCACATACACCTAAGGTGGCAGATTCAAATCCAGCCTGGGCCCACAAAACAACAATGACAGCTGCAACCAAAAAATAGCCGGGCATTGTGGTGGGTGCCTGTGGTCCCAGCTACTTGGGAGGCTGAGGCAGGAGACTCGCTTGAGCCCAGGAGTTGGGAGGTTGCTGTGAGCTGTGATGCCACAGCACTCTACCCAGGGGGGCAGCTTGAGGCTCTGTCTCAAAAAAAAAAAAATGGAATAGAAAATCAGCATGCATCGCATTAGTAGTGTTTTTTTCCTCAAAAACATTTTCATGAAATATTATATATGCACTGATTTTGTATACTGCATTTCCCCCCAAATAAGACACTCTTATATTTATTTTATTCAAGAAGACACACTAGAGCTTATTTTCAGGGGATTTTTTTTGCAGTTTTTTTTTTTTTTTGGCTGGGGGCTGGCTTTGAACCCACCACCTCCGGCATATGGGGCCTGCGCCCTACTCCTTTGAGCCACAAGCATCACCCAGGATGTCTTATTTTTATTAAGTATAATACAACAATCTACATTTATTCAAATACAATTAAGTCATCTTCTTCTAGAACCTGACAGGGGGAGCTGACCTTTTTGGTGGGGCTGGCGCTAGTGATGTGTGAACTCTTTTCCCCTAGCCGTTCGCACCTGCATAATAGGATGCCTGCCACTGAGGTTACCACAGACCAGCACCCATGCAAGTGAGAATGGCTCCAGAGAAAGGAGCTGTGGCAGATAAAAGGTATTCCAGTCTTCCTTACTGCTCGGAGCTGAAATGCAGGGAGTGGCTATGCAGATACGCTGCATAGCCATGCCCATCAGTAGGTCTTATTATTGGGGTAGAGCTTATGTTTAACAAATGCATAGAAATCCTGCTAGGGCTTATTTTGGGGGTAGGTCTTATATTTGGGGAAACACAGTATCAGTAATTGTGAATCAGAGTAAAAAACAAGAAGTGGAGGCAACTTCTTTAAATTATGCATGCACAACCCTGATTAAAAAATATTTTAAGGCCGGTTGTGATGGCTCACACCTGTAATCCTAGCACTCTGGGAGGCCGAGACAGGAGGATCATTTGTGTTCAGGAGTCTGAGATGAGCCTGAAAAAAAGCGAGACCCAGTATCTACTACAAACAGAAGAACTAGCTGGGCATTGTGGTGGGCACCCGTAGTCCCAGCTACTCAGGAGGCTGAGGCAGGAGGATCACTTGAGCCCAAGTTTGAGGTTGCTGTGAACCATGATGCCACAGCACTCTAGCCTGGGCAAAAGAGACTCTCAAAAAGAAAATTAAAAAAAAAAAAACACATTAGAGTGACACATTGCTTATACCTAGTAGAATCTCCACTTCTTGTGATGGCATCACCCACATAGCCTTACATACCTATGGGAAACTTGGAACCTAGAGTGTTATTAAAAAACGCAGCTTTGAGGCCGGGTACAGTGTCTCACACCCATTATCATAGCAGTTTGGGAGGCCAAGATGGGAGGATGGCTCAAGCACAGGAGTTTGAGGCTGCAGTGAGGAATGATCATGCCACTGCATTCCAGCCTGGACAACAGAGTGAGACCCTGTCTCTAAAGCAGAACAAATCAACAACAAAAAACAGCTTAAGACAATAATATTGCAATACTAAAGCTAGACCTGAGGGACCATAGGACTATCACATTCCCTATTTCTTGTCATCTGTCTTTCTGTTTTTGCAAAGAGCACCTTTTTGAAGATCCAGTCTTTTTATTTGTTTTAGCAGAAAGAATAAACTAAGGCTTAGAGGGTGTTAGGAAATTCGCCCATGTTTACAAAGTTAAAAGGAATGAGTCCAGGTCTCCTGACCTCTAAATTCAGAACTTTCCCCACAGAATCTTCAGGGGCAGATAATCCCTTAAGGTTACAAGGTCCTAGTCAACGCAGCGCGTCCCAAAAGTCACTATACATGTGGAAAATGGGGAGTTGTAGTTAAATGTACCTTTATTTATAAAATATGCATTAGAACATTGTACACAGCCAGGCATTGTGGCAGGCACCTGTAGTCCCAGCTACTCGGGAGGCTGAGACAAGAGAATCACCTAAGCCCAGGAGTTGGGGGTTGCTGTGAGCTGTGTGACGCCATGGCACTCTACTGAGGGCCCCTTAAGTGAGACTCTGTCTCTAAAAAAAAAAAAAAAAGAACATTTTACAAAATACAGAACTTCCATAGTTGACCACCTCCCTTCATAGACCACTTAAGTTGGCCTAATTTTCACAGACTGGACATGCACCAGATGCATGTTATCAGCCCAGTAGGCCTAGTTCTTTATGTTGACCACCTCTGTATGTTGACCAGTTTGTTACAGTCCCTTGGGTGGTCAACATCCTATTGTGTATTTACAAAATATCATCTATGTGTTGGCCGCTTCTTTCTACAAATACACAGTCTTCTCTCCTACTCATGGCAAACAGGTTTTGAGATACCTATTCTAATTTTTTCCCATGCATAGCAACTTGTGGGAAACCCTGTACTTTAAACCTAACTTAATGAATACCGTCTAGATACAATACTGAGTATGATAATAACATTAAGCTCTTATTCTAAACACTTTACATGGATTAACTCATTTTAACCTTCACAACTACCCTAGGAGGCAGATCTTATTATCAGTCACTCCGTCTTCCCAGATGGAGAATACAACTCCAGGATATTAATTAATTTTCCCAAAGTCACACAACTAGTGAATAGAAAAGGCAGGAAATAGACAAAGGCAGTCTAGTTCCAGAGCTCTTAATACTACTTTTAACACACCCTTGTATACTAGAGATGAATTAATTTCTCCCTAAATGTTAATTAGCCTAAAAGTAACAGTTATCATTTATTAGCCCCTACTATTAATAACGCCTACAACATGACTATGTCTTGGCCCACGATACGAGTTTTACAAAGGGGCCGGGCCCTACTTTATTAAGTGTATCAAAGTAAGAGTTTTGGGTTCTAATACTCTCAGATAATGAATGAAACTTATACAAGCTGGGATAACTGCTTCATGCAACACTGTAAACCTAGAGGTGAGTACTATAAAAGTATGTGTTTAAGCCAGGCATGGTGGCTCACGCCTATAATCCTAGCACTCCGGGAGGCCGAGGCAGAAGGATCCCTGGAGCTCAGGAGTTTGAGAAGACCCTGAGCAATAGTGAGACCCCATCTCTACTGAAAATAGAAGCATTGTGTGGGAGCCTGTAGTCCCAGCAACTTTGAAGGCTGAGGCAGGAGCACTGCTTGAACCCAGGAATGTGAGGTTGCTGTGAGCTTGGCTGACTCCACAGCACTGTAGCCTGGGCAATAGAGCGAGAATCTGTCTCAAAAAAAAAAAAAAAAAAAAAAAGTATGTGTTGAAAAGTTTGGTCTTTTTTTAAAAATACATTTGGTTAATAATTTTCAAACATACAGAGTTTATCTCGACACATAAAGTACAAACTGGCTTGATAACATGGGTGAATTTATTTCTTAAGATTTGAGTGCAAACTTAAAAACAGGAACAAAGCTTTTTCATCAAGAATAAACACAAAATTTAAACAACAATCCTGCAATCGTGCATTTGAACAGAAAGTACAGATATGAATACATTATAATTTATAACTACATTTGGAAATTAAAATATTTCTCTCTGAATCCAAAACACCACACAATTTTTAACCTGTTTTCATCTTGTTACCTTAGAAATATTTGTCATATGCTATCAGGAAAATATAGGCAAAGATTACTAATCAGTCTCTATCACAAAAGAAATTGCTTTTCTTAACTTCTGACTTTTTAAATCTTTCTTCTGTATTTCCATTCTGAAAAGCCATACAATTAAACCTCCATTCTAGAGAAAAAAAGAACGAATACAATATCAAGGAGACAAGATACGTTCATGTGATTAAAGCAAAAGTCACAAGTATCTGACTTAGAAATGTACATATCATAGTAAAATTTTTTTAAGTACAACTTTATTTGATGACATGTAATAACAATTGTGAACAATTTAAACAGGTATAAAAATGTGAGATTAAAATCTTTAGGATCAAATACTTGAAAAGTCACTATGAATATGGAAAGGTTTGTTTACAGAAACACGTCTATTTTTCGTTGAAAAAAAATCAGGGGGGTAGTGGCATCTCCCTGGTCCCTTAACAATATTTGGATTTTTGCAAAGAATTAGCAGCACCCAACCTTAAGGGTTAATTATGTGTTTCTAAAGGACCTATACAACAGATTAGTTGGCAGTGTTCTAGCTTTTGGGAGATGGGGGTGGACAGGGGTGCAAATATCTGAGATAAGATAGTATGCATGCACTCACACATTTAAAATCACCATTCCAAAAAAGAGGAAAAATTCACGTATTGGAAATGTCTATGAAAATCATCCTTGAGGATAAACAGGAGGGCAGGAATAGAATCAGAATAGTAGTCTACTTGATAATCATGGGTTTTCACTCTCCAAAGGCAAGGTGGGAAGAATGAGAATACGCACATACACATAACTTCAATGAAAACTTGCCTAGAATTTTACTTTGCAAAACACGGAACAGAAATCTTTACAAAAACCTTCATTCTTATTTATAATACCAGATGATTTTTTTCCTTATTACCACCATATACATAACATTTAAGTATCTTCTTTATAAATATGTTAAAGCAAAAAGAATTTCTTCCGCTTCAATGGTGACCCACCTCTGTACAGAGCAATGTAAGCAACACACACACGTGTGTGTGTGTATATATATATATATATAAAATGATTGGAAAAAAGTGCAAAGAATAACAGTTATTAAGAATTTTGCTTTTACAGTAACTATGGTTCAAGTGTGAATAGCTGTCAGGGCTATACTATGTATAAATCCTTTAGTTTAAGTAAAGACTCAAAGAGAAACCCACACTCCCGAAGTTACTGTACAAGCATCCGTCCCTTATCAAGTAACTCTGCCCTTCCCCTACATCTAGCATTTCCAGTTTCTAAATTCTTCATAAACAGGAAAAAGGTGGTGACAGTGTTTTCCTCCCTTTAACTTCCCAAAACTCATCCATGTTAATCACCTGTAGGTTTGAACGAGATATTGGGGAAGTCATTCATTATGACCCGCTTTCTTAAATTAAAGCAAAATGAAAGGCTTTCTGAAATACAAACCGGTCAAGGATCAAATCAGCAACAGCAAATAGACCTTAAATTACAAATGTAATTTAACATGACTACATGTAAAAAATTTACCATTATTGAGGAGAAATTCCGAGTCTAAATCTCTTTCCCAGGTTCAGTGTAATGCAAAGCTCCTAATTCCAAATACTGGACTTAATGATTCTATCACTTTTTCGAACAGAGAAAATGAGTACTATTAAAGTTTGATTGCCTTTCTATCATTTTACTCTTGGTCTCAGTCTTTCATTTTTAATAAACACAGAAAGGCAATTTTCAGCATTTTTAAAAATGTACTTCCTTCTTAAATACTACACCGACTGATTTTAGATCCCAAAGTTTCAAAAATGTAGTTCAAGTCCAATTTCCCTTCGTTATATTACTAGATATTTTTTGGTATGTATATGTTGGTTTATTCTTACTTTAGGCACTGTAATTATTCACAATATTACAATGATTCTATGTCTACCCTATGCAACAACTGTAATCTGAAATCAACACCTTCTATGGTACTACTTAATTCAGTATATTATGTTACAATTGAATTTTCCCTTCAAGATAAATTGTTGGAAGAGAAATTTAAAGCCTGGCAGCACTTCTGCTTTGAGTAGTGTTAATACATATTTTCAGTCGTGCTTAATACTTAAGCTTCTTCTGAACTAGGAAGACAATAGACATTGGAAGCTACAAATTTCCTCAAACTACATTCTACTCCAACTCCAATTTATTTTGTTCAACATTATTTTCTTTTACAAAAACAAGTATACCTTAGGCTAATTTTTAAAAAGATTTTCTGCTCTGTAATTAATAACACAGCTAAAGGGAAATAACTTTTCAATTTCAGCTTCACTAGGACTATGCAAAACTAAGTTAAAGTAGACTCGACAGCTATTTCAATCAGTTGGTTTTTTTTTAACCATGTCTTTAGAACGATAACACCTTACATTCTAACAGACAGATCAACAAAGGCTTAAAACTTTAGAACTAAGACATCACCAGGCTAGCTCGTCTGCAACTGTCAATCAGAGAACACTTTATTTGCCCCCATACATTCGTTCAATGTCTTTGAGGTAATGGTTCTTCAGCTCCTTCCTTTTCAGTTTGAAAGCATCAGTTACCAAACCAGTTTCAGGGGTCCATGGCTCTGGGCTTAGGCGAACCTTGATTGGTATTTCAAACCGCTCCAGTTTCACTGAAATGAGACAAGGAGGGATGGGAGAGAGGGAGAAGGAGGGGAAAGAAGGGAGGAGAGAGGGAAAGAAGGACACAGAGAAGCGATTAATAAAATATGGATTTTGCAGGATTTACTTAGAGGATATAGGTATACGGCAAACTTATATAACTGCATGTTAGTTTATTAAAGATACCTCTACCTTACAATTTCATTTTATATGTCTTGCAGCACACATAAGTTGTGTTAGTTGGATAGCTTTAGTGTATGTAGTTTTTATTCTAAGATATACAATGTGTCCGTAAAGTTCGTGTGCAATTTAAGATAGCTGGTGTAACTTGCACACGAATTTTATGGACACCCTGTATGCACACACACACACACACACACTCCCTTTCCTCTTCAGAGACTATATATTTGTTGTTCCCCCTGTCTGGGATGGTCTTCCACACTAGAGTTACATGGCTCGCTTCCTTTCTTCATCCAGCTGTCTGCTCAAATGCTACTTCCTCAGAGAGGACTCCATGACCACTCAGGACAAAAAGGAGGTCCTTTGGTCTCTCTGTTATCCTATTACACTATGCTTCATTCAAAGTACTTATCGCACCCAACACAGCACATATTTGTCTCACCCACTTGAATGTGAGCTCCATGAAAGCAGAGTCTTTGTTTTGGTCACTGTCATCCATAGGACTATGTTGAGAGCCCTCAATAAATACATACAAGTTGATTAATTCATTCTATAGAAAATCAAAAGCCTCTAGACAAATATTTGTATAAGTTTTATTATATATTAAAATACAGGTCAAAAAGGGGATTGTAGATTACACACCTTTAAATGGTATAAGAATTAGTGCAGCACACACTGTATTTGAGTTAGACAACTCAATAGGTGTTGGCTGAAATATAAGAAAATAAGGACATGGAGCATGGCTCCCATAGCACAGTGGTTATGCCACCAGCCACATACACGGAAGGTGGCAGGTTTGAGCCCGGCCCAGGCCAACTAGAAAACAATGACAACTGCAACACACACATACAAAGCCAGTTGTTATGCGTTGGTCCCTATAGCTCAGCGGCTAGGGCGCCAGCCACATACACTGGAGCTGGCGGGTTTGAATCCAGCCTGGGCCTGCCAAACAACAATAACAACTACAACCAAAAAATAGCTAGGCATTGTGCAAGCACCTATAGTCCCAGCTACTTGGGAAGCTGAGGCAAGAGAATCGCTTAAGCCCAAGAGTTTGAGGTTGCTGTGAGCTGTGATGCCACAGCACTCTACTGGGGGTGACAGCTTGAGACACTGTCACACATTAAAAAAAAAAGAAAGAAAGAAAAAGAAAATAAGGGCATGGGAAAATCAGAGAGAGGGAAGGAGGGAGAAGGGCAGGTTCTTGGTGTTTGACACACCTCTTGGGGGCAAGACACAATTGTAAAAGGGACTTAACCTAACAAATGCAATCAGTGTAACCTGGTTTCTTGTACAGTCAATGAATCCCCAACAATAAAAAAGTAAATGAAAATAAGGACATGGAGGTAATCAATACAACATTCAATACTTTTAAACTCCGTAGATTATATACTGTATTTATGCATTATGCATACAAGGTCATCCTTAAAATTCTAAAGGCCCATTAAAAGCAATGTTAACCTACAAATGAAATTTGCTATGCAATTAATTAAAACAGCAATTGCCAAGATGTGAATATTCTGCATGTTTAAAAAAATACTGCTGAACAGCCTAGATGATGTTGGAAACAATTTGGTTTCAGTGGTAAGGCCGAAAAACTCATAGAAGTTATTCTTCTAGTACTAGTCTAAGTTTTAAGAAAGCTTCATTGGAATAGTGAGTTTCTCATTAAAATGAGAGAAAAAACATAAAGCTGATTATGAAAAATAATCTTTCAAATAAAACTTAGAACCAACTTCCAAAAACTAATGCTTTGAACAGGTAGTAAAAGGATATAAAACGTGCTTGAAGTACACATGTCCACTTTATTGATACCTTACAGCTCAGTTACACAGAGGTTCCTGAAATCATCCTATCTGCACCCAAGGCCTCATTTGGATCTCAAAGAAACAGTTATTCTGAAATACAGATGTGGCTCCAAAATCTCTTATTTCATTTTACTTTTCTGGCATACACAGGCCCTACTCCAGAAACACTAACAACATTTGGACAAAGCAAGCACATTATTTCAGTTGCACACAAACAAACAAATTAAAGAACATTTATAAAAATTCCTATATTTAATCTTCATTAGTTAAATTCCTGACTTAAATCCCCTCCCCTCCAAAAAGTCTGCTTTAGGGGTTTTATCTTGGGAACTCCTAATATTATCTAATATCACAAGCTATAGAAAGAAATGGACAAGCATCATTTCCTATAAATAAAATAACTACAACAAGTGAGAAAAATTAATACTACATTTAAGGAAAAATCAATTTAAACAAAATTTTATCGGAATTAACTAGAACATTATGAAGTGTGACCTGAAGGTGGCAGCACATGCCAATTTTTATAGCAATTGGTAGTTGCTCAAATTGTCCCAGAACAATTACTTTGCATTCTTATGATACTACTTATGAGTACCTCACACTTACATTTATTTTTTCAACTTATTACATTTTTTTATTAAGTCATTTGTACATAGATTATAAATACATTTATGCCATTATGGGATTCAATGTTTTGATCACACTCATATTTAAAAAACATTTAGAAGCCTGCTACAAAAGATGTACGATTTTTCTGAATATAATTATAACTACCCTACACTTTTTGGCCTAAGTCTCTGAAAGGAAAAATTTGATGTATTGACAAAATAAATCTTTTGAGGCACAGAAAAATTTATGATTTATACATTTAGCTCATGGTCAGTGTTCATAATCCAGATCATGAATTATATGCCTCAGTCCAACCACAGAAACGTTCCAGGAGCCTAGCTGGTCCTAGAATTTTGCTCCACCTTCTACCCAATTGTGATCTACCTTGACTTTCTCCATTGTTGCTTTTATACAGTTAAATATTTAATGACAAATTACTCAAGTCATTTCCGACTCCATGTGTGCATTCAGAGAATGACGAACAATAAGTATGGTGCATTTCAGATGGTTAGCTTTTGGTTGAGGTACTTTTATTTTCTTTGAGACACGGTCTTGCTAGAGTGCAGTGGCATGATCACAGCTCACTGCAATCTCAAATTCCTGGGTTCACCAGATCCTCCTGCCTTAGTACCCTGAGAAGCTGGGCCTAAGACAAGTGCTGCCACATCTGGCTAAGGAAATACTTTTCTAAAACTACATTGAAAGAAAAATCAGAGTCTGAGTCCAAAAAAAGTTCTGGCAGACCGTGTCATTAATATAAAAGTGTGTTACAGTAATAATACTGTGATATACAAAATCAACTCAAAGAAGAATATATTAAGTCACATTGTCTTTATAGTTATAAAATAAGCAAGTTTTCAATCTTATGTTACTAGGCAAACGTTATTTAAAAATTTGCAGTCTCCAGAGTTTAGAAAATTCTCCTTGGGGAAAAATTAGTTATCAAGTTGAAGTTGAAAAGGTACTACTATAAACTTTATTTTTCAACCAAAATGAAACCTAAGAAGTTAATTTTAAAAAATAAACAAAAATAATAGTAGCCAAACTAGGGAAGTAGGTATTCTCATGTATTTCTGAATATAAACTGCTACTGGTTTATGGGGAAAGGAAGTGATTTGGCAATAGGGGAAAAAGTCTTTAAAAATATATCTTATTCTTAGTATATCCATTACTAGGAATTCACACTATGAAAATAATCTCATAAGAAGCCTGAGGCCGGGCCAGGCATGGTGGCTCCTGCCTGAAGTTCTAATACTCTGGGAGGCTGAAATAAGAGGATCACTTGAGCTCAAGACCAGCATGAACAAGGGCAAGACTTTGTCTCTACTAAAAATAGAAAAATTAGCTAGGTTATATGCCTTGTAGTCCCAGATACTTGGGAGGCTGAGGCAGGAGAATCACTGGAGACCAGAAGTTCGATGTTGCTGAGAACTAGGGTAAGGCCATGGCACTCTAGCCTGGGCAACAGAGCAAGACTCGGTCTCATAAAAATGAAGAAAGAAAGAAAATAAGCCTGAGCAAGAGTGAGACCCCATCTCTGCAAAAAATAGAAAAATAAGCCAGGTGTGGTGGTACATGCCTGTAGTCCCAGCTTGAGCCTTAGAAGTTGCTGTAAGCTATGATCACAGCTCTACACTCTAGCTGGGGCAACAGAGAAAGACACTGTCTCAGAAAAGGAAAGGAAAATTATACAATATATGTTACATTTGTTTATAGGGGGACAAAAAAGTACAACTCACCAAGAAATCTAACAACAGGGGCTTAAATGGGTTTTTATATGCTGAAATACTATTTAGCTATTAACAATGATAACATAATTCTGTACCTATTGACTCAGAAAAATGCCAGTGATGTGGGTAAGTTAGCATATATACCATGGGTAAGTTAGCATATATACCAAAGTGTGATCCTGCCCCCCAAAGATAGCTAGTATAAGTGGTTTTTACTTCTTTCTCTATAATATTCTGTATTGTCCAATATTTTATGAGTATAGATAACCTATAATGAGAAAGATGATAATTTCATTTTTAAGAGAAAAAACGGAGTAAAATTTGGTTAACAGCTTCTAATTAAACAGAGTTACACAGTTTTCTCTGTTTCCCTGGAAAATAATGCAAATAATTTAAAATAATTTTTAAAATAGAAACAGTAGTAACTACAAGGAAAAAAAAAAAAACAGAGAAAGAAGGCACTAAAGTTAAGTTCAACAGAATTTTAGAAGACAAAGGCAAATGAATTCGTGGTAACTGATTTAGGGCTAAAAGAGCTAAAGCAACCACCAAGAGAGGAGGGCGCAAGAAGCAAACCACCCTCACGGGAAAGTGCTCCCTGAGCCTGTGCTGCTGAAGACTGAAGGAGTAAGGTTGGGAGCAGGAGCGGTAGGCCTCAGCCTGTTTAAAGAACAGCTCTCCCTCACCCTGTCCTCTTCTTCCCGTGGCAGGCTGAAAACAAGTTTACTTTTTGTTAAAACTGAACTAAAGACGCTGGACTCAAGGACATTAGGCACAATAGAGGGAAGAAGTAAGGCTGAAAACAGGATTCAGCCGATGGCCCTCTATCCCCCCACCGCTCCTTTCCTCCTTTTGGCTACCAGAATATTGGCAAGTCGAGCTAATATCACCCAGGCAAGAGACTGGGGAGGTCTTCTTGGGAGAAATGGAATGATCTAAGAAAAAGAGACAATATTTGAGTAACTTTGCAGTGAAAGCTAGTAAACTTTTCAAACAGTTGTTTTATTTATTTCTTTCTTTATTTATTTAGACAGGGTCTCACTCTGCCACTCTGGGCAGAGTGCAATGACATCATACCTCACAGCAACCTCAAACTCCAGGATTCAAGCAATTCTCCTGCCTCAGCCTCCTGAGTAGCTGGGACTACAGGTGTCCACCACAATGCCCAACTAGTTTTTCTATTTTTAGTAGAAATGGGGGTCTCACTCTTGCTCAGGCTGGTCTCGAACTCCTGAGCTCAAGGGATCCACCCGCCTCAGCCTCCCAGAGTGCTAGGATTATAGGTATGAGCCACTGCGCCTCGCCCAAATAGTTTTTTAGAACCTCACTCTTAAGCATGAATGGAGAGACAAGGATCAGCAGATACCCGACAGGCTACGACCGAGGCAAGTATAACGTAGAACTTGGAGAAACAGAGACAATACCAGGAGAAGCAAACTCCATAAAAGGCTTCCTTGTAACATCGTCAGAGGAATACGGGGCAACACGTTGAACGCGTCAGTGAAAGAGCAATAAAGTGCTACTGAAAGGAACACTGAGAGGACAGGATGAGCTCTTAAAAATGACAGCTCTGAGAGTGAAAGTTGGAAATTCAGTAAACAGAAGAGTTATAAAACTCTCCCAGAATATAAACCAATCAGACAACGAAATAGGAGACAAAAGAAAAAAGAAAATAAAATTAGAAGATGAAAGCAAGAAGTCCAACAGCCACATCAAAGTAGTCTTAGAAACACACACACACACACACACACACCCCAACCATGGAGTCAGGGAGAACTCTGGGGAAAAGAAGCAAACCGACAAAAGCAGATAAACAAATATTTCCCAGAACTGAAGCAGAGATCCCCCAGATTCAAAAGGCCTGTGCCAGCTATGCACAGTGATAAATGATCAAAGACCCACACAGGGCATATCATCACGAACTATCAGAATACCAGGAATTAATATTGTAATTCTGAAAGCTCAGAGAGATAAAATAGTTCATACACACAGACATAAGAACCAGGATGGCACAGGATTTCTCAGCCAGCAACAGTGAAGTTAGAAGACAATGGAGCAAAGCCTGCAAAGTATGAAGGAAAAATTATTTACAATCTAGAATTCGAATAGATGCCCACCCGTGCCTTAAAAGGGGGAGGATAGAAAAAAAGACATTTTCAGGCACACAGCACAGTCTCAAAAAGTTTACCTCCTATGCACCTTTCTCAGGAAGCTGCTGGAGGATGGATTCTACCCAAACCAGCCAGTAAGCCAGGACAAAGACAGACATGAGATCCAGGAAACAAGATCCAACACGGGAGAGGGAAAGGTAATTTCCAGGATGATAGTAAATGGAAGCCCTGGGGAGCAAACAGTCTAAATTTCAGCATGAGGACAAAGGACACGAAGAAGGACATGTCAAAGAAAAAAAATACATATAAAAACACCATATTTTCCTGTATTTGAGAGAATTTTTACAACTTTTATCAGTGTTTAGGGGAAGAATTAAGAATAGGCACACAGAAAACCAAGAAAGAAGAGAGGAAATTATAAATCCAGGGAAAAAAACAGAAAGTTGTCCAAGAAGGGAAATATAATCATAAAACACTATGTAGTTCAGCTTGGAATGGTTTCATAGTCATTATGTTAACATAGGCATAAAATGTAAAATTATACTACTATGCCCTGGGAAAGGAGGTGTACATTTAGGGGAATGGATATGAAACTTAAATCATCTTCTATGGTTGGAAATCCATAGATAACATCTCAAATGAAAAAGTCAAGAAAGCAATATAACCATTTTCTTTATGGAGACAAATGCCAGAAATTTTTAAAAACAGCTAAAGTAGAAAAAGGATGAGACTTGGGAGCGAAGAGAGGTACAATATGGGCTACTATTTGATGCACTTCTTATAGTAATACCATCTGATATTTTAAAAACTACATATGCTAATCACAGTAATAAAAATGAAAATTCAAAAGGTTACAAAATTGGCCTAGAAAGCCAGGTGCAGGCTCAGCGCCTGTGGCTCAAGTGCACCAGCCACATATACCTAAGTTGGTGGGTTCAAATCTAGCCCAGGCCCACCAAACAACAATGACGGCTGCAACCAAAAAATAGCTGGGCATTGTGGTGGGCGCCTGTGGTCCCAGCTACTTGGGAGGCTGAGGCAGGAGACTCACTTGACCCAGGAGTTGGAGGTTGCCATGAGCTGTGATGCCATGGCACTCTACCCAAGGGGACAGCTTGAGGCTCTGTCTCAAAAAAAAGAAAGCCAGGTGCAGTGGGCTCATGCCTATAATCTTAGGACTCTGGGAGGATTGCTTAAGACCAGGAGTTTAAGACCAGCCTGAGCAAAAGCAAGACCCACCTCTACTAAAAATAGAAAAAATTAGCTGGGCATGGCAATGCATGCCTGTAGTCCCAGCTACTCAAGAGGCTGAGGCAGGAGGATTGCTTGAACCCAGGAGCTTGAAGTTGCCATGAGCTATGACACCATGGAACTCTAGCCTGGGAAATAGAGGGAGACTCTGTCTCACAAAATAAAACAAAAACTGGCCCAATCAGTATTCCAGTAAACTTTATCAGCTTTTTTTGCTAATTTGAAATTGAGGATTCTGAAGATTACTCCCTTTCCTGAAATTCTTAGCAGCACTCTGCACTGGCTTTGCTCTCCTGGCACCTTGCCAATCACACTTTCCATGTACACCTCAGCCTCCATCCATTCCTTACATGCTGGTATTGTCCAGGGGCCAGGCCTAAGCCTCCTGTTCTCACTTTACATTTTCTTCCAAGGTCAGCACATCTACCTTCACAGTTCAAATTATCTCTAAGTGTATCTATACGTCACTGCAGGCCTCTCCCATCATTTATTAAAGGATTTGTTCTACAAAATTTGGATTCAGTCAAAAGGCTGCATTCAAGGATCCAAAAGGCCCTCTATGTGGCCCCAAGGCCACAGGTTATCTACCCTGTGGCAACTGTCTGCTGAACATTTGAAGTCTGATTATCCAAACGGGCATTTCAAACTATGTATATCCCAAGTTGACCTCATCCTCTTCTTATATGCTGGCTCTTCCTCCTGTATTTTTTAGCTCAATCAGTACTAATATCTACCTTATCAACTGAGCCACAAACCTGAGGGCCATCCTGGACTTCTCTTTTCCCTTGAATTAACCAATTAATCATCAAAGCTTACCACTTTCACTTGCTAAATGTTTCTTGATTCCCTGGTTCAGGCCCTACTTCTTTCCACTCCTATCTAGGTATCTGTGACAGCCCTCCTAAACTGGCCTCCTGCCTCAGTGCAGTTCCCCTCAAATATACCTTCAGCAAAGCCTCCGGAGTGATTGAACTTATCTAAAATGCAAATCTGACCACATCACTAACTTGGTACCGTGTTTCCCCGAAAATAAGACCTTTTCAAAAAATAAGCCCTAGCAGGATTTCTATGCATTTGTTGAATATAAGCCCTACCCCAATAATAAGACTTAGTGATGGGCGTGGCTATGCAGCATATATGCCACGCCATGCATTTGGGCAAGGAGAGGAAGACATCCCCTAAAAATAAGCCCTAGTGTGTCTTCTTGAGAAAAAATAAACATAAGACAGTATCTTATTTCAGGGAAACAGGGTAAAACCTTCCATTGCCTACAGGACTGAATCCAAATTTCTGAATAAGGCATACAAAGCACTGTACAACTTGCTCTCTGCTTAACATCCACGGTCTCATCTTGTACTTTGTTCCTTACCAGTAACAAAGAATTCCTTGTAGTTCCCTGAACATACTATCTTTTTCCTATCTCTGTGACTTTACTCATGTTGCTCCTTGGACTCGAATGCCCTCCCTAGTTAACTTCTAATCAACCTGTAAAAATGAGATTAAGTGACATCTCTACAAGGAAAGTTTCCATGACCTCTCAGGTAGGGTTAGGTACCCTCATCTGTGGTACCATGATTTCCTGTTCATCTCTCTACTACTGTTAAGATTGCTGTCTGGTGTGTCCCTCTCACTGAATAATGAACTATTTCAGAGCAGGAAATGTATCTTACTACCTTCTGTTTGTAGTCCCTGTCAAAATTCCTGGCACATGGTATACAATCGGATGCTCTCCAGTTGATTATTACCGCACCATCTGAGACAGTCCATTTACACAGCCACACAAGCATAGTTATGGTAATAACCCTAAACAGTTATTAGTTCCTACTTTGTAGATACAAGGTAGACCTACGTGACAAATCTATCCAAAGATGGACCATTTCAAATAAAGGATCACTTGGGAGGAATTTTGTAACATCCAATAAAGAACCAGATAGACAGGTTATTCTACTATATGACATTTAAGGGTCCTTCCACCACGGATATCCATTATATAATTTAAAAGTTTGCTCTTTCAAAACCCTGTGTTTTATTATTAAAACAAACATCTTGAAGAACCTAATGCAAAAGACATCATTAGTTGACTTTTAAGGATTACAACAGATGAATAATTTCTCACTTACTGGCATTTGCAGCTTCTCGAATCTCTTTCAGTATTTCAGCTTCCATGGCAGGGTTATTGCATATATCAACCCAAGATCCTTCCACCCCTTTCTGTTGTGCCAAAAGTGTCAACCTTTTCTGGTTAGGAACCACAAAGCTGATCACATAGGACTGGTCGCTGGAAAATTAGAAAATAAAATAGAAATTAAAACATGGAGAAAAAACTATTCAATGAAACAGTAGTGTACAGATAATTCCAAATATATATTTAACTTATTTGTTAAAGTTTCATTAAAAAATAGTACCAGCATAATACTATGATACCAGCATAAAGACAGACGTACAGGCCAATGGAATAAGAAGATAAGCCAGAAGCAAACTCTTGCATCTATGGTCAAACGATCTTCAACAAGGGTGCTAAGAACATTCAATGGAGAAAGGACTACCTCTTTAACAAATGGTGCTGGGAAAACTGGATAGCCACGTGCAAGTGGATATCCAGTTTTCCCAGCACCCTTACCTTACAACATATACAAAAATTAGCTCAAAACAGATCGAGACCTTTATTTAAGAGATAAAACTGTAAAACCCCTAGAAAACACAGGGGAAAAGCGTTATGACAATGAGTTTGGCATTATCTCTTAGATGTAACATAACAGCACAAGCAACCAAAACAAAAACAAATAAATGGGACTACATCAAAATTTAAAACTTCTGTGCATCAGAGGACACACTATCAATCGAGTGTGGAATGGGAAAACCATTTGCCCAAATCATACACCTGATAAGGGGCTACTATATGGGCTCACACAATTCAACAACAAAAACAAACAGCCCAGTTATAAAAATAAGCAAAGAATTTGAATAGACATTTCTCGAGAGATGCTATACAAATGGCCAACAATGATATGAAAAGATTCCTGACAGCACTCATCATCAGAGAAATGCAAATCAGTACCAAAATGAAACATTCCCCTCGCACAGTTCACAAGTGTCCCGTAAGGATGACTACTGTCACAAAAACAGAAACAAATGTTAGAGAGGAGGTGGAAAAATTGGGACGCTTGTGGACTGTTGCAGGAATGTAAAAATGGTGCTGCTGCTACGGTAAACAGTGTGGCAGTTCCTTAAAAATTAAAAATAGAACTACCATGTGATCTAGCAATTTTCCATCCAGGTTATCTATCCCCCAAAATTGAAAGCAAGACCTCAAAGAGATATTTGCATACTTATGGTCACAGTCACAATAGCCAAGGGGGAGGGAGAAGTAAGGCAAATGTCCGCTGATGATGAATATACAAACAAAATACATTATATACATAGAATGAACTACTGTTCAGCCTTAAAAAGGCAACTCTGACACATGCAACAATATGTATGGATAAATCTTGAGGATATTATACTAAGTGAAACGAGCCAATCATAAACAAGATAATGTGTGATTCTACTTATATGAGGTATTGACAGTAGTCAAATTCATAGAAACAGGAAGTAGAATGGTAGTTGCCAGGGGCTAAGGGAAGAGGAAATGGGTAGTTGCTGTTTAATGAATACACAGTTTCAGTTCCACAAGAATAAAAATTCTGGCAGCACGTGGCTCACTCCTATAATCCTAGCACACTGGGAGGCCTAGGCGGGTGGGGTGCTTGAGTTCAGGAGTTCTAGACCAGCCTGAACAAGAGTGAAGCTCTTCTCTACTAAAAATAGAAAAACTAGCCAGGCATTGGGCCGGGTATCTATAGCCCCAGCTACTCGGGAGGCTGAAGCAAGAGGACTGCTCAAGAGTTTAAGGTTTCTGTGACCTATAACGCCACAGTGCTCTACCCAGGGTGACAGAGAATCTGTCTCATAAAAAAATAAACACTTCTAGAGAAGGCCAGGTATGGTGGCTCACACCTGTAATCCCAGCACTTGGGAAGCGGGTGGATTGCCTGAGCTCACAGGTTCGAGACCAGCCTGAGCCAGAGTGAGATCCTGTCTCTAAAAAAATAGCCAGGCGTTGTGGCAGGCACCTGTAGTCCCAGCTACTTGGGAGGCTGAGGCAAGAGGATCACTTGAACCCAAGAGTTTGAGGTTGCTATGAGCTATGATGCCACGCACTCTACCAAGAGTGATATAGTGAGACTGTCTCAAAAAAACACCCCAAAATTCTAGAGATAGATTGCACAACAATGTAAATATACTTAACACCACTGAATAGCACACTTAGAAATGATTAAGATGGTAAATTTTATGGTATGGAGTTTTTACCACAATTACAATGTAAAAAATAAAGAATTAAGGCCATAAAAATAAAACATACAAAGAAAATGGTTCAATCTCTTAGGCTTTTGATTTAGAAAAGCCTGGGTTCAAAACTCATCTCAATTCACCTCAACATGTAACAAACTATGTTACATTTTGGGGAAAATTACTTATGCCAAGTCTCAATTATGGATGTTAAATAACCTTTGTCACATAGCTAACTATTTAGCAACATGTAGGTGACCAAAAAGCATAGGGTGTCCCAAAAGTCACTCCTAAAGTTGGCATATATAGAGAAAATGAGAAATTGTAGCTAAATGTTCCTTTATTTACAAAATATTCATTACACCATTTTACAAAATATTTACAAAATATTCTCTATGGGTTGTCTACCTGTTTGTAAAATTCAGTAATGAGTATTCTGTAAATAAAGGTACATTTAGCTACAATTAGCCATTTTCCCTATGTATGGTGACGTTGGGGCACCCTGTAGTTAAAAATGTGAGTTATCTCAAATGATCTTCAAGTTAGTGAATACGAGAACTTTCATAAACGTAAAATTTCTCAACTGTGATGAAAATTCTAAGAGGAATTTGATGTAACCCTTATGATAATACATAACTGAATTCTTTTCTAATTACTCTTTTACTGTTAGTACATGAAACACAAGATGCAACTTTTGAAAGTTACCTTTTGGCAAAAGCACAGATGTTGTCAATAAGTGGACAGTTCTTCAGTGCAGCTTCTACTTTCCCCAGAGACACATACTCCCCTGCTTGTAACTTCACCAAATCCTTCTTACGATCTGTAAGTCATGAAGAATGTTAAGTTACCCATAGTCTGTTTTATTAAGGTATGTACAATTCTGACTTTCTTTTAATTTCAATGCTTTAATCTCTATTTACAAAGACACTGCTAGGTGCAGTGGCTCATGCCTGTAATTCCAGCACTGTGGGAGGCTGAGGCGGGAGGACTGCTCGAGCTCAAGAGTTCGAGGCTTGTCTGAGCAAGAGTGAGACCCTGCCTTGAAAAAAATGGAAAAACCCAGCCTGGGTGCTGCGGCGAGCACTTGTAATCCCAGCAGCTTTTGAGGCTGAGGCAGCAGGATGCCCACAGCCCGAGTCTGAGGTTGCAGTGAGCTACAATGCCACTGCACTCTGCCCACGGCATAGGGTAGAACTCTGTCTCGACCAAAAAACAACAACAACAAAAAGATACCATTCTAAAATTTTGTTGTATATAATGCTTGCCCACACACATCAGTTAAAAAGAAAATGCCTAATTAAAGATAGTGTCTAAAATTTATGCTCTATACCCAAAACTTTAACATCTTATTACTATCTTTTATATTTAATAAAGTTAATGGAAGGAACAAGGACTTGGGAACATTAAATTTAAATGGTAGCTTTGCCCAGTAGTAGCTAGCTAAATGTTCCTGACCATGTCAGCTAACCTCCCTAACTTTCAATTTTATCAGGGATATTGACACCTAACTCCTAAAGGCACAATGCATAAGGTCGAGCATATAGAACCCATTCAACCAATGTTAACTCCCCTTTTCCACAGTAGACATATCTTATTAAAATGACGTTGCTCTAAGAAAATGCTGGCACAGGGTGTCACAGCTTGAATAATCATCAGCCTGCCTCACAATCTTCATGTGAGTGCTAGTTTGCCTACCCAGAGCCTGGGAACCCAGTCTACAGAAATAACTTTCAATTCCAGTGCAATTAAGGATCAAGAAAAAACAAAAGGCTTAGTAGTTCACCATGCTTCCTGGTTTAGCAGATCCAATTTCTAGATGAAGAACCAATTTTCCCAAGAAATTTCTAACTATATTCAGGTCTGATATTGTGAGGTCCAGCAACAGATTGAAATGGGTCACTAGAGATATGACTGAGAAAACTCTATAGCTTGAAAAGAATCTGACCAGGATTCCTGCAGAGTGGTCCTCATTAGCAAGTCAATTTCTATTTTAAATTTTACCAGTTCAAAGTGAGTAGCATAGGAGCCCATTTGGGAGTCACTTTTTGAATGTAAAGGTCTACATCAGGAGGCTCAATAAGGGCAGTGCCAAAGCAACTGACATTCTCAAAACATACTGCACTGAGGACTGATTTTATCCACTTTCTAAGGTTCGGGTCCAGTTAGAGCCATATATAAAGAGCCACCAGGACAAAATGTGCCAACACTGTCCCTTGGGTGGGGAGATAAAAGGTGAGGAAGGCCTAGAATAGGGTACATTACAGTACATAGTTAAACAGAACCACACGTGGTTGGCCATAAAAGACCTCCTCTGAGCACTTTTTGTTTTCCCATTGCCAATGTGCTATTTTGCCCACACCCAATGCTGCTGCTGTTATTACTGCTTACACTAAGAAGGTTCAGGCACTGCTTCAAACATCATACACACACACACACACACATATACATGTAGATATCAACTCCTTTAATCCTCACAACAATCTTATGAGGATAGTACTGTTATCCCTATTTTGCAGATGGAAGCTCATACGTAAGTTAAAGAACTCACCCAAACTTTAAACTAACAGAACCATCACTCCTATGAATGACCTGACCAACATTACCTTTCATCCAAGTTGGAGTTACAGAGAATACACTGACCTATGATCTGTAAACATCCATCGGGATGGAATTCTCCAATATCACCAGTGCAAAACCACCTTTGTCCATTTTCATCCACAGAATAATCCTCTGCCGTTTTCTCTTCATTTTTAAAGTATCCCATGGAGATATTCTGTCCGCCAATTACAATTTCGCCTCTGGGGTTCGGTTTGTCATGAATTGTGTAACCACCTGGAAATCATAAAAGTAAATTAGTTACTCGCCTGTGTAATACCTGAAGCTATCATAGGCAAGTTACTAATATGTTGCTATCAATGCATTCTGGATTTTTTTCTAAGGTGGTTTTAATCAAAGAGAATAGGTATTAAGTAATCAAGAAAGACAGCATCATGTAGTGACAGGGCAAGGGAGGCTGTGGGAAACGAGAGGGAAAATGTACTGATTTAGCCTATGCCCAGTCATCAACTTTAAAAGTTAAAACACCAAAATAATTGACAATAACTATGAAAATACTTTATCACTACTCACTATTTTTTTGTATTACTGAACCCAGCTTACTTTAAGGAAAATAAGCAAAAATTTAGGTGTGTAAATTGAGACACAGAGTCTATGTCATAAAAACATTAAAAGCAGTGTTCCTTTCATCTGTTAACAGCTCTGATAACCTTACAACTGTTCGATATTTCAATATAACAAAACTCGTTGTATGCAAGATATCAAGATTAATTCCTACCGTACAAAGTCCAGGATCCTTCACAGCAAGGAAAACACCAAATATATGCCCAGAAATAGAACCATTCCTCAAAACTGACAATGAGGCACAGTACCAGTAAATCAGAAACTCAAAATTCTCCTTAGCAAGTTTTACTGTAAACATTTCTGATTACACTGCCTAACAAATAACCAATCTAACAAAATAAATCTGAAGCCGATGCACAATACATGTAACTATCTATATTTTCTTCAGCATTTCATTGTAAAATTGGAACGTTATTACCATGGAAAAAATGGGGGCTTAGACCCAAGATGTAAAATTCTTGGGAATGTAGCTGGCTTTTAAATATGTTTTTTAAAGTGAGAGACATGTTACGCAGCCTTAAAGAAATATGGAGACTTTACCTCTTTCATGTTGACACGGATGGAGCTGAAATATATTCTTCTTAGCAAAGTATCTCAAGAATGGAAGAAAAAGTATCCAATGTAATCAGTCCTACTATGAAACTAATTTATAGCCTTGAAAGCTATAACCCAATTATAGCCCAAGAATATGGGGAAAGGGAGGAGAGGGGAGGGGGGAGGATGGGTGAAGGAAGGGTAATTGGGGGGACCACACCTACAGTGTATCTTACAAGGGTACATGTGAAACTTACTAAGTGTAGAATATAAATGTCCTAACACAGTAACTAAGAAAATACCATGAAGGCTATGTTAACCAACTTGATGAAAATATTTCAAATTATATATAAAACTAGCACATTGTACCCCATGACTGCATTAATGTACACAGCAATGATTTAATAATAAAAAAAAAGAAAGAAAGAAAAGTATGAGCAAAGTGATTAGTGCAGAGGCTAGCAAACTGCTAGCCACCTGTTTTAGTGATTGAAACACACCAAAAAGAGAGGCATGTAGAAATAAATTTTAAAAATTTAAATGTATTTTTTTCAATACACAATATATTTAATGGTCTTAGATGCACAAACTTACAAACACATAAACACAAGCAGTTATGGTGAACTATCAAACAGTAAGTTGGTTAAAGTGGCAAGTTAACTGATTTAGCTTCAAGCATGATTTTTTTAATTATAATATTTTAACATTTTATTTTATTTTATTTTCTGGGTTGTCATTTCCTCTTTTTTAATTTTTTTATTAAATCGTAGCTGTGTACATTAATGCATTTATGGGGTACAATGTGCTGGTTTTATACACAATTTGAAATACTTACAACAAACTGGTTAACATAGCCTTCACTGCATTTTCTTAATTATATTGTGTTATGACATTTATACTCTATGCTTAGTAGATTTGACATGTACCCTTGTAAAATGTACCATAAGTGTGGTCCAACCAATTACCCTCCCTCCACATATCCTCCCCCTCCCCTCCCACTACTCTTTCCCCTTCATCTTGGGCTGTAGTTGGGTTATAGCTTTCATATGCAAGTGTGGTTGATATATTGGTTTCATAGTAGA